CCGAAAAATACCGCCGAAGCCCAGCAGCGCCACCATGGATTTTCTCGATTTTTGCCTCCGATGAGGCCCTTCCTGATTTCTGTTAGATGTAATTTTTATACCACTGTGACCACCGTCCTTTTCTTTACAGGTTGACCAGAGCAAAATATCAAATCGTGACTCGCACCGGAGGCGCCACCGCACCCGAGAGCTCCACTGCTGATAAGTCTCAGTTTTTTGAGTTTTTTCGGCCCACCAAGGGCCTTACGTGTGTTTTATCATAGGAACCAATGCAAGTTTGGCCGAATTCGGCTGAAAACGACCAACCCGAGGTGGATCTACACTGCAAGTAGCGGCGCCGCACCGGAGCGCGGCAGAGCCACCACGCCGGAATTTCGAAATTGGCTGAATATGTAACACCCCAAGTGTTATTATTTTTTTCATTTTATTTTGTTATTATTTGATTTTTTTTATTTTTAATTAATTTAATTTGATTTAATTTAATCTAATTTCATGAAAATAAAAATAATAATAATGATAAAATTGGGTAAAAATATTTTTAAGATTTAATTGAAATTGATTTTGGAAAAAAGGGATGAAAATTTGGATTATGTGGGTGTTTTTGAAAAGAAAATCGGAAACCGAGGGTCAAAACGCAATTTAGAAAAATTGCACCATGTCAGCACCCACCTCAGCACCCACATCAGCGGCCCGGTCAGCAGCCCCGGCCAACCAGGACCCGCCGCATGGCAAGGCAGCGTTGATCAGGGAACGGGCCACATGGGCGATCCACGTGCGCGCGATAGGACGGCCCAGATCCGTTCCCGCGCGCACGGACGGTCCATATCAAACGTGCGCATGGACGGCGCAGATTCACGTGCACGGACGGCTCAGATTCAATCAGGCACGGACGACCCAGATTGCATCGCGATGAACGGCCCAGATTTAATCCCAATTAAATCGCGATCAAACAGCCCAGACTTAATCTTGATAGACGGTTGAGATTAAAAGGCAAAGGGTATAAATAACCCCACCCACACCTGACCACAAAAACCCTAGCCGCCAGTGACTCGCCGGAGAAGAAGAACCAGACGTCGGAAGAGCCGGCCGCCGCCACCTGCCGCCGCACCGGGGAAGTTTCCGACCGTCGATCGAGGTAGATTTTCTCCTCCTTGCTCGTTTTTTGATGTTGAGTCCGCCTATGGCCAAACCAAAGCCAAATCACCGGCCAAACGGCCAGAAAACCCAGCCGAAGCCCAGCGGCGCCGCCGCGCCCCTCCTCTGTTTTTGCCTTCGATGAGGCCCTTCCCGGCCTCCGTTTGATGCAAATTTTATACCACTGTGATCATCGTTCTTTTCTCTACAGGTTAATCGGAGCCAAACATCAAAACGCGACTCACGACGGAGGAGCCGCCGCACCCGAGTGTGCATGATCTTATGATGTTTATAATGTTATTGTTTTCATAAGTTTTTTTTCACGAATCTCACCGAGGTAAGTGGACAGTAAAAGGTTTTATTATTGATAAATGAATTTGTTATAATTTATGCTCTATTGGTCGTTTCTATTTTCTACCAATCTTTACTTCTGTGACAGTGAGATAGTGTGACATCCTTACTGGGTTAGTGTAGCTCATTCCTTACTTAACCATTTCATATCAGGAGGACTTTGTTCTCGAGCCCGTTCCACAGGAAGACGGCGAGTAGAAGCCTAAAGATTTATTAGTTTTCCTTATAGTATTCATTTATAATATTTCCTTTAGTTACTTTATTTTTTCATATCTTTAATACGTTTTGATTATTGTGTAAGGGATGTTAATCATAATCTATTTTATTTCGCTTCCGCACTTAGAATAAATATATACATTTTTTTTTAATTTCTGGGGCCGTTATATTGTCCATCTGATGTTCATTGGAATGTTGTTAAAGAATTTTATGGTATCTTCGCGACACTACAGATCATAGACTTTTCTTCAGTAAATAGTCAAATTTTCTATTACATGGATATAATGATGCAAATTGGGGAGGTTCAGTTGATGATCGGAAGTCTACTACTGGTTTTGTAATTTATTTGGGTTCCAACTTAATATCTTCGTCTCTCACAAGCAATGCTCTGTATCTCGCTCCTCTACTAAAGTCAAATATAAAACTCTTGCAACAGCAACTTCTGGATCACATGGCTTCGTTTGTTGTTGCATGAGATTGGCCTACCACTTCACGTTGCTCCTATTCTATGGTGTGATAATTTGAGTGCCACTTATCTAACTGCTAATCCAGTGTTTTATCATTACACTAAGCATGTGGAG